TAAGATTTACAAACTTGTGTATGAACCGGGTATCTACTATAATTCCAGCATATGGAACAGGTAAAAGTATTACAGTTTAAGACAAAGTGGGTACAAATTTATAACCTCTATCCATTGTTACTAAGACGCCCGTCAAAGACGACAGACCGGATATTTTTCAAGAATGACTGTAGACAGAAACATCAGCGTTTGCAGGTGTTTATGACAGTTCGGAAACCTTTATTTTCTTTTGCGGTATATTGTGTTACTCATGGTTGATATATGTCCGTACAGTGCCTCTGGTGTTCAGCAGGGCTCAGGGAAATGCTTGTGCATGAAAGCTGTCAGCAGGAGCCGTTTTTTACCCGGTTCCTAACCCGATCCGCCCTTGAGAGTCATTCATTGCCTTGCATGCGTGTCACAATACAGTCTCTGTATCTTGGGGGAAACTGTAAAATCCTATCTAAGAACCATTTCCATGTCCCACCTGCGATTATGGGCCTTGTATATTTAAGTAAAGCAAGCAGTCAAGCCAACACAAATGTTTAGAAACCCTCTGAATGTCCAGGACACGTTATTAACGGCTTCTCAATCGTCTGCTACACAATACATGAATGGTGTCTTGGTGCGCAAGTCTTGTTTGCGGGATTCAGTCATGGATTATTCATTGTTAGTCAACGAGGAGCTGGAGTTTGTGTGCCCCTCGAGGTCTCCACTCTTTGCCCCTCACCTGTGTGTGGTAATGAGGGAATGAGGGACGTCCGAGAAGAAATGCCAAGCTGCAATCTCGGTACATGCCGGCCTGATGCAAACACTTTCCTTTCTTTGTTATCCAAACTGTTTCCTCTGCGCAGCGCGAGGCATGTTTCTAATTATAGTCCAGCGGAGAGACACAGCGGGCTCCCGTCAACATGTGATTCATGGTGCAGGTGACCCAGAGACTCTTCCCTTGGACGTCTGGAGGAGAAGAACTCGCTGGATTTACTGTCACAGAGACTCGTTCAGACTCTGCTGTGCTAAATCAATGCTGCACTAAAGGCACTACTGTAAACCATATTTTATGCACCTATCACCTCTTTGGAGGTGTTACTTACTGGTAATACTTGCGGATTTGAACAAACCACTAAAATTGAAGTTATCCTGCAAACCTGAATGAAGGTACTCAAAATAGTGTGGCCTGTTTACAATGTAGCTTATTTTCTAAATGTTTGGACAACAAAACAGGTGACAAATCCCTCTGACCTCTAATGAAAAATACAAAAATGACAAAAATCTCTTAAGGGTAGACCCAAAGTTAACTTTATAATAATTATAAATCTTTAAATTCTGCACCACACATGGCTCCTTAAAATATATATAACAACAAACTAGTCAGGCAGACAGACAGACAGACAGACAGACAAATAGATAGATAGATACCAAATGTTGTGTGTCACATTATCATATTATATTCAATATGATGCATCATATATTAAAATGCCATATTATCAAAGTCATGTTTAAATGGCTCTAATGCCCCAGAGAAGCACTGACTGGCTACAGACTTGAATTACTCTGTTGTATAAACTTATAAAAGAAGAGACAAATGACCAGGTCTGTTTATTTGTCATTACAGTTCTTGCATTAGTCATAATTACCAAGCTATGTAGTGTAAGCAATGACATACATAATTTCCACAGCATAGCCGATGAATTAGCACATTAACACCAGAGAAGATAAACTAATACATGCTTTCTAAAAAAAGCATAACACACTACTAAAATATTCACGTTTATTTTCTGTTTCTTATTTTATACCATTGGCCTCAAACTCAATTCCTGGAGGGCCACAGCTCTGCACAGTTTAGCTCCAACCCTAATCAAACACACCTGATCCAGCTAATCAAGCTCTTCAGGATTACTAGAAACTTCCAAGCAGGCGTGAGTTGGAGCTGGTTGGAGCTAAACTCTGCAGAACCCTCCAGGTATTGAGTTTGAGACCTCTGTTTTAAACCATCCTAAGGTAGTTTTCAGGTCTAATTTTCTGGTTGTAGAGGAGTTATGGGCACTTGTCATCTGGTTAGGCCAACTAAGGCCACATTTACACTGCAGGTCTTGATGCCCAATTCCCCTTGAAGTTGACTTTATCCGTTTTTTTTGGCGACCAGCTTACTTTTAAATGGGACACATATCCAATATCTGCATGTACACTATGGTGAAACAACCCAAAGTAGACATACTGACCCGGAAACAGGGTTGCCAGGTCTGTGAAACAAAACCAGCCTAAATGATAAAAACTAGCCCAGCTGTGTTTTTTTCCATATTTTTTTCTTCCTTAAAATCACATTCCAGGGGGAGGAGGAGATCGTTTTAACCTGCAAACTAAACAACAACCCACAGCAGCAGAGTAACAGCCCAGTTCCATAGGAATACTGTGGAAAAGGCCATATCTGATCTGTCCACTTACATGGCAGATGCAAATGCACATATCTGATTCATATCGGATTTATTTCCACATAGGCCTGAAACCAATCAGAGAATATCCGAATCCATGTGCATTCTTCCTGCTTACACGTATGTGGGTCATATCTGATCTGTGCCACATGGGAGGAAAAAAATTGGAATTGGCTCACTAGAGCCACATAATGTAAATGCGGCCAAAATCAGATGAGCATCAGCTTGACCAGACCGGTAGAACATCCAAATCTGCTTAAATCACCTAAAACTGCTTCTTTGTCAACAAGGTCCGCACTTGTAATAGGTTCAGCCTGTTTTTTCTGAAAGTAAATGCTTCACAGGTTTGTCACACCCTTGTAGATTATTTTACTTAAACTGTTCATTGGAGAAAACAAGGGGAAATCCTAACAGACAGGAAGGTTCTCCTTTCATAAAACGGGACTCAAAATTGCAGTGCCAAAAATATTCAGGCTACAAAACAATGCGAGGGCAAAATATCTGGATGACAAATTTGAGCCTCGACGACTCAACCGTGGACTAACAATTGATCAGAATGATGTCACCGCCACTATTATCGACTTAAAGTATACTCATGTGATACGTGTTCAGGAATTGAGCCCGTGGTGATAATCACTCTGGAGTCCCAAATATGCACATAAACAAAGGAACTCGCATTGAATATGAAATAGCACAGCGGTGAAGTCAAGGCCAAAGCAATATTGTTGATCTTAGGAAGCTCTTCCCAAATAAACACAGAGGTGGGCGGTCATCATGGGAAGCACAAAATAAAGAAGTCAAATTGGGCTTCGGGAGCACTTCAAGACATAAAAGAGCTATGAAGGTGCCAAAGGTCTTTTCAATACTCGGACGTTTTGTAGAGGGAAAACATCTTTGTTCCTTTGTTTAAGTGGAGCGGCTTGTCTGGTGGTCCGATCTAAGGTGTATTATAATGGTATTGTATCCTTATGTGCAGGTCACACATGCTCAGTCAAACACATGGCAGGCTGCTCCCATATTACCAAGAACACATTGACATTCTCCATAAATAGCGGGAAGTACTACAGATCACTATACGCTTGGGGAGAATATGACTTCCTGATGATGTGGTAGGCTTATATGCTGATAAAAGATGACAAATGTGTCTGGCATATGTGCTTCCTACATGCCATTCAATGTTATGCATGAGTGGAAGCTTTTTTCAGTGTTATAAAAATATATTGGGTTTACGCGAGAACCATTAAGATCATATAGGCTAAGCTATGGGCCTTTGTGCGTTCTGATAGGTTTTTAACAGCAGATACTGTTTTATTAAGGATTTGTGGTCAAAAGTGGTATTTTTGCCTTAGCCAAAATAAAAAGGAATAGATTTTACGTTTTTTTAAGAAAATGTCGCTTGCCAGTGCATAACTCACCGTCACGAGTTGGACTGAGGACTTTACCAAAACACTCTAAAACTGATGTTGAGTGGTTCTGACGCTTTTGTTAAAGTGTTGTGGTAAAAAAAGGCCCACCAAAAGGCCTCAGTGAACTAAATCTACTGCATGTCTACGTACATACAGGTGATTTTTTTTTTCACCCGTTTTAGCGCCTGCTGGCCCCTGCTTGATTTGAGATATTATATAGTTTTCACTGACATCTATTGGTGAAAAGGGAAATCGGACCTATAGGTCAAAATTAAACACTTAGGCTATATTATATTATATTATATTATATTATATTATATTATATTATATTATTAACAACTATGTATTAATTTCTTTTATTTTTTAAGCATTTAGCAGACACATTTATTCAAAGCATACCGTTTGAGCTAAAGAACAGAAGACTCATACTATTGGCCCGAATATAAGACGACCCTGATTATAAGACGACAGTGAAAAGGGAAATCGGACCTATAGGTCAAAATTAAACACTTAGGCTATATTATATTATATTATATTATATTATATTATATTATATTATATTATTAACAACTATGTATTAATTTCTTTTATTTTTTAAGCATTTAGCAGACACATTTATTCAAAGCATACCGTTTGAGCTAAAGAACAGAAGACTCATACTATTGGCCCGAATATAAGACGACCCTGATTATAAGACGACCCCCCCCCCCCCCCCCCCCCCCCTCTCTCTCTCTCTCTCTCTCTCTCTCTCTCCATGCTCTGCTTTAAATTTTAGGTCCCTCCTTGACTTTTACTCTTGAGTATCAATTCGTCTCGAATCATAACAAGCCGATAATAGTTATCTATTTATCCAAGAAAAAACATCGTCTTATATTCGGGTCAATACGTATATTGCATTATATCATTATATTTGACTTTTGTGAAATTTTTGATGTAGACATAACACTTCACAGATAATACAGATCTAGTTGTCACACCAGCTTTTAATTAAAAAGACAAATATTTATTTATTTATTTTTTTAAAAATAGAGATTTATACACATGATTAATGGGCATACATGAGGTTTAATGCTGTGTCCGAAATCGCTTACTCGTTCACTCATTCACTATTCCCTGTGTATGGAACTACATTTGAGTCCACTATGTGGGGAGCTATCAGAGTTACGTGATATATAGCGCGTCATTCTACTTCCTGTTTGGAGGCGGGTCTAGTTCTGTAAACACGTACACAACGTGATGTGAACTGCAGCAGACTGCGGACCGTAAACACTGCAGACCAGGTAAAATATAAAAGCGGTCCTGTTTTAAATAGTTGAACAAAGCAAACTCCTATCAGTACGTATACTGCATACAAATTAATATAATTAGCTACATAGACTTACATGCCGACTGTCATAAGTCAATGTCACGAGTGTAATGGCACAATGGATACGAGTTGCGCAATGAAGATTAACACTGACATGATGATTATGCTTCTTCCTCACTATTGACAGAACAGTGGCTAAATATATTTGGCCTTGGTTGGTTGTAACTGGCTACAGCTTCATTGTTTGTAGACGTCTCATCTTCAAGACTTGCCTTTATTTATCAGAGGAGAACCAGACATAAACACAGGCAGTTCATGATGGCTGCAGATTCAGCAGTGTCTAACGGAGGAGAAAACATCCTTACTGAGAGCGACGATGATACTCTCAGGTACCTTTCAGTGTTATTAATAAATAGAAGTAATGTATATTAAGAAGCTATTAAGAAGAATGCATCCACATTGGCCTTGTCCTGATTTGACAGGCTTGTCATAATGTTTACAGGTTCAGGATGTACTTGTTTTGAGGGTGCATCAACTTTATCCACATTAAAAAAGTTCTGAACAGATTAAAAAAAAATAAAAAATTAGGCATCATACACCTGCTGACTTTGTGAATGGTTACAAAGGGGGAAAAAAACTTGGCATCATACACAAAATTACTATTGTATTTCTAAAATGGCATTAAAAACTCTTTGGCTATAAGTGGCTCAACCTCCAAGCCAGTAGGTGGCAGTATAGAGCATAAACAATTTTTATCTTTATAAATCTCTTTTTCAGCCCTGATGACCTGTCCGAAGTGTTGGCGGCTGGAACCAAGGAGTCTCACGACAAAGCAGAGAACTCGCCATTTGTCAAGGACTTCCTGAGGGGCCGAATCAAACGAGAACTTTTTAAGGTGAATCTAGTGTTCATGGACTTTTGTAGAGTTTGATGAAAGAGCCAATCTGGTTTTGACCTCCATTCTGTTGCTATTTTGTCCCCCAGCTTGGCACAGCTGCCCTGTACTACGTTTATTCTGCCATTGAGGAAGAGATCGAGAAGAACAAGGACCACCCCATGTTTGCCCCACTATATTTCCCCTCTGAGCTTCACCGGCAAGACGCCTTGGCCAAAGACCTGGAGTATCTCTACGGTGAAGACTGGGAGAGCAAGATCTCCTGCTCAGCAGCCACACGGCCCTACGTGGACCACATTCATGAGGTGGGACGAGACGATGCGGTTCTTTTGGTCGCACACGCTTGGACCCGCTACATGGGTGACCTGTCAGGAGGGCAGATTCTGAAGAAAGTGGCTCAGCGGGCTCTAAAACTGCCCCCTACTGGTGAGGGGGTGAACTTCTTCCATTTTGAAGGCATCCACAACCCCACGGCTTTCAAGAGGCTGTACCGCAGTCGGATGAATGAGCTGGAGGTGGATGCAGAGACCAAAAAGAAGCTGCTAGACGAAGCCAACCTGGCATTTCAATATAATTTGGATGTAAGAGAATTATCAAATATGGCTTCCTTTTTTTGATCCAGATCTTTTAAAGGAACAATTCACCTGTTAATGAAAAATTGTGGAACATGTACTCACCATCAGGTCATCCAAGATGTAGATGAGTTTGTTTCTTAATCCAAACAGATTTGGAGAAATGTAGCATTAGTTCACTTGCTTGTCAATGGATGCTCTGCAGTGAATGGGTGCCGTCAGAATGAGAGTCCAAACAGCTGATAAAAACATTACAATAATCCACACCACTCCAGTGCATCAGTTAATGTCTTGTGAAGTGAAAAGCTGTGTGTAATAACTTCATCACTAAGACGTTTTTAACTTCAGAGCATCGCTTCCAGTCAATTCGTAATATTGCTTTCTCAAGTAATTTAATCTGAAACAGGAGAGAAATATGTATAAAATAAGCACCGTTTACAAGCAAAAACAGTCCAAAACATTTCTAAACAAGTATTAGTGGATTTTGATGTGAGAGGAAAACAGGAGATGGACTTTTTCACTGGAGGAAGCATTGTTACAGATTATGGACTTGTATTTTGGCCAAAAGCAACGGTTTAAAGTTTAAAACACCTTAATAATGATTTTGTTTCTTACAAACACGCAGCTTTTCACTTCTCAAGAAGTTAACTGATGGATTGGAGTAGTGTGGATTACTTGTGATGGTTTTATCAGCTGTTCAGACTCTCATTCTGACGGCACCCATTCACTGCAGAGCATCCATTGGTGAGCAAGTGATGTAATGCTATATTTCTCCAAATCTGTTCTAATTTAGAAAAACACTCATCTACATCTTAGATGGCCTGAGGGCGAGTACTATTTTCAGCTAAACTTAATTCTCCCAAAAATGAGGATATGTTAAGTACATTTATGTGCGTTTAAACAATATGTTAATAGTCATTTTTGAACTTCATCAGGTATTCACAGAGTTGCAGGAGATTGGGAAAGATATAAAAGAGGAAGTGCAGGACATTGGCTTTCACGCACATGGGGATATGGGTGGAGACATCAGTAAATGCCCCTACTATGCAGCCAAGATGGGTGAGTTGTTAGCGAATAGCGACACTATATTTTTTAATGTGTTTTATATCATGTAAATTTAAAATGTTTTGTTGTTTTTACTCAACTGCTTCCATCATTTTCTGTCTAGCGGTGAGTGGAAACACGACTTATGCATGTAATTTTGCCAAGATGCTGCTTCGACAGTCCACAGTACAGGTGATTCTGGCCACATGGGTCGCTGCTGTCGCTGGATTGGCTGCTTGGTACCTCATGTGATCACCTTTACCTGAGTCAGCCAATAAGAAATTAAAATGGCAACAACTGGGCTTCAAAGTGGAAATCTTTCACTCACTGGGCCACTTTGTGAAAATATTGCTGCCGATCATATAAATATGTAAAGTCACTGACTGGACTTTTAATCCATGCCACGTATCTGTATTAAATACAATGCTTTTAAAGGAGATGTGACATTCTTTATCCTGTTTTCAATCTCAGTCAAGAGTGTAAGCACACATGCTAGAAGACATTGGAGCTGCTTAAAATAAAACTATTAATGCAAGAACTGTTTCTTTGACCATTTGTGATTGCAGTTGCACATTGTAATACACGTTCATAAAAAAAAGTATTCAGGTACATCACTGTGGTGCAGTGAATAAATCATAAGAGTGCTGTCTCTGCAGATTTTAATGTCCATGTTTTACCAAAGCACAGAAAGCAGAGGAGAGTAGGGAGCGTTTGTCTTTAACTCAGTGTCCCACTAAAATATTCCCTTATTTATCTGCTACACATAAAAGTAACTTGAATTATAGTAATTCTATAACTTATCCCTAAACCATGTAAATAATGTCAAGTACACAGAATGTGGTTTTATAACCAACTGAAAACATGGACATTTTACATTTTGTGCTTGGGGTTACTGTATTGTTACCACCCAACCAATCAAAACTGCAAATATATATTGAACAACTTTTACACTCTCATTAGAAGGGTTTTACTTTTGTGACGTTACGTTCAACACGGAAGCTCCGAAGCTTGTATCTAAAAAAACAACACATTTCACTTTGAAGCACCTTATCGGAGCTTGATTCGTTTTGCCAAAAGCACGTGATCTACGATGTCTGAAGCTTCGCTTGCCTGAAAACTACTAATGACTGCTTCAGTATCTGATTCAAATGAAGCGAACCCCAGTGCCGTTTCCTTTACATTATAATGCGTTAGTAATTTATAAATTAAGCTCAAATGAACTTTGACCATGAAATAACAGTCTAAGGACTGAGGCAGAATTAAAATAGACAAATCACAGATTTAATTTATGAATTTGTTTGATTTATTTTACTTATTTTAGTGGCAGTACACCGACACAAATGAATGACTTTGACAATGGCCATTATTTATATACAATAAAATAAAACAGAGAATCATTTGTAGAACCAGATGTGAAACCAGCAGCTGTAATGGAACACAGCCCTTTGGAAGGTGCTATTCATTTTTATGACCACTAGATGGCCACAACATAAACAGGGCTGAAAAGCTTCGCGTAATGAACCTGTTTCCGATACTATAAGTGTTGAAAGCTTCGCTGGTTCAGAATGCTTAACTTCACCAACACTAGCTCTTTTCTAGTTAGATAACTGATGCTGTTATAACACTTCCCAATCTCATCTTCAGGGGAAAAAATAAAAACGAAATCTGTAGCGGCCTACAACAACAAAACGTGATACAAAGTAAACAATATACAAATAGAAAGTGCAGGTAAATAAATGCAAATTCATCTAATTATCTTGTTTTTCAAAACTGATCTGTGGCTTCACTGTATTTTTCATCCATTTTCTAACGCTGTAAGGGCCCTGATATACTTCAAATGAAATCGAAGAACGAACTGATATGATGCCATTTCCAACAAAATCAGGCCGAAACGAAGTTCATTTTGAGTTTGTTTTGGCAGTTCGAAACAGCTCACCAAACTAAGGTGACCAGACGTGCCACTTCCCGGGGACATGTTCGGCACAGGATTTCTAAGGCCATGTCCACACGTACACGGGTATTTTTATAGTAGGAGTATTTTTTATAGTAGGAGTATTATGGTATTTTATTATGGTAGTTTTTCCTTCTTTCGTTTAAAAAAAAAATCTCCATCCACATGAAAACACAAACGCATGCTATGAAGCACTGTCAAGAGCATGCCAAACCAACAGGTGGCGATATAATCTCAACCATAAAGCCATGTTGGCCAATCAGAAGCCTTGAAAAATGTTCAAAAACTCCGGTTGCAGTGTTATCGTGTAGACAGCGAAACGGCAGTTTTTGGCTTGTGACGTCGGAGCCTGCGCTGTTATCTCCGCCTACTGGAAACTTTTTCAGGCTTCTGATTGGCCAACATGGCTTTACGGTTGAGATTATATCGCCACCTGCTGGTTTGGCATGCTCTTGACAGTGCTTCATAGCATGCTTTTGCGTTTTCATGTGGACGGAGATTTTTTTGTTTAAATACCCGCGTACGTGTGGACATGGCCTTAATTGCCTAAAATAACCAGGTGTTGGTTGTTTGCGCTGTGCTGCGCCGAGCCGATCGATCGTTGTATACGATCGTTGATCATTGCTCGAATAGCTGAGCTGGAACAAATGTTTCTGCACCTGTACGATCGCTCGCGGAGGGACTTTAAAGATTCAGAGAAGGCATTTATTGTTGTGTTTAGGGGATACGCACGAGCGGCGCGACATATTCACATTAATCTACACCCCGCCTCCAGCAGCGCGAGGGTGTTGAAACGTTCAAAAATAGTATACCGTCGGCTCAGCCTTTTCAAACTTTTTGCCCCTAAATGAAGAACTTCGTTTGAAGTATATTGGGGCCATAAACATCTGTATGGGTCACTGAGGTGTAAAATGTAGCCAAAACTTTTGCCGCAGAAATAATATACAAAGTCGAGTGAAATCATGCTCTTATTTTAAATTTAGCACAGTGTGACAACAGGCACAGCGTTTATTTTCTAGTTTGCTTTAGAGATGCTCAGTCTTAATGTGAATACCGCGTTCCAGACACTCTTTGCACTCTTCCGTGCTCAATTTCCTGAAACCTATATTCATGTCTTTTATGGCTTTCCTATAGGTTTCATATGAACACGCAGTTGAACTTTTGCCTTTAAAGTCTTTGTACATCATCATGACAGTTACATTGCTTGGTAAACATCGTCTGCTTTCAGCGTGTTCACATTTATAGTCACTGATAGTTGGATTGAACGATTCAATGTGTTGGTAAATTGGCGACAGATCTATTTTATTGGCAGGTGGGTGTCGCCCTCTGCGGTCTGGAGGAGGAACGGCACCGGATGTGTTGCCTGTCACGCTGACAATCACTCTGTCGTTTTTTGGGTGGTATCCCAGTGTGGTTAGGTAGAAGGTTTTGCAAACATCTTGAGGTCGCCCGAGGCTGTTATTTAGATGATACTGAAAAGTCTTGTTGCGTCTGCTGGGACCTCCCGTCGTGAGACGTGTTTTCAGTGATTGGGTAACTGAGTGAAATACAAAAGCCCATTTGTCGCTGTGTGACATGTCCTGATAGGCGTCAAATATTTCTTTTCTTTGAACATGCGGGATCTTCTCTGTACATTTCTTTCCACATGTAGGTCCACAGGGTTTGCCCATCTTTGGTGCCCGTTGATTTCCTATTTGTACCGGACAGGATTCTTCATCCTTGTATGCCATTTCATCTTCTCCGCTCTCACTGTATGTTTCCTGTTTAACAGAATTGACTTTGAAAGTGCCAAGCACCCACTGTGCAGTTTGTTGATCACTGATATGAACAGATTGAATCGGCTAAATCTAGTGCTGAATGATATTGATATTAGACTTACCAAATTAGATTATTCAAATAGTTTTTTTCAACCATTTTTGTTTTAGATTAAACACACACACCATTTATTTATAACAGTAACTACAATAAAACGTGTAAGATAACAGTAGGCAACTATGAGTAACTGTTACCTACCACTTTTAGTCTTGTTTCCGGACTTTCCAGGGAAGTTAATGACCTCAAATCTTCAACTGGACATTGTTTTGGACTTAAATGGTTAGCCTCTGTGATCTCAGAAACATTGTTTGCTTTGAGATCTTGCACCATCCTCATAATCTTCCTCTGCTGCTCCAGAAGAATTTCTTGTTTAGTTAATATGTCATGGAGAAGTGCTGAAACAAACACAGGAATTGCAAAGTTTACTACACTACCCATGCTATGAAACGAGCCTTACACTTAGGGCTGGGTTTTGACACAAATTTCACGATTCGATTCTGATTCACAAGCTTGCGATTCGATTCATTATTGATTATCTTGGATATATCAGGTACAGTACATGCCAGATTTACATTTTTTAAAGGCAGCGGCTATTTGCACTAAGTGTAAATGGCAATTAGACACTATTTACAAAAATAGCATATTTTCTTAGCAATAGATGCTATTTACACCAAGTGAAAATAGCAGTATTTTTTTAGCGATATGCTATTTACACTAAGTGAAAATAGCTATAGATTCTATTTACACTGTTAAAATAGCAGGATTTTCTGCTATTTAAACCACTTATTGCAAATAGTGGCAACTATAGAACTGTAGTACATTATAAAACAGTATGCAGTAACGTATTGAGTGTAAATTATCATTTTAATTCAAATTATTAAATGGATGCAACCTTATTGGGACAATAAAGCCCTCCCTACACCTACCCCTACCAGATACTTCATTTTCAACTTTTCGATTATTTCCTTCATTTTTATTGAAAATAAATGCCTTTCCGATGTGATGTGACATTTGAAAAGGGAGAAAAAAAAAAGTTTGGCAAAAGGCGGATTCGAACTCAATCTTCTTTTGTAGTGTTGACTAGCCCAATCACACGTTGGTGGGCAGAGTAGCTTCTGCCAACAAGGTGGGCTATTTGCACTCCGTTTTTTAAAATATAAACATTTAAATAGTGGCTCTCATAAAAACTTGACAGATTTATTCATACTACATACATTAAAGATTGAAGAACAGTAAAAATTATAATGAATGTTATATAGTGCATACATTTATAAAATGCTCCTCTCTAGACTTCATTTTTCTAGCTGACTAACGAGTTCATGGTCACCGAATATGTTTCTTCTGAGGTAAATGTAACGTTATGTGACATTGTTACAAGCTGTTACATTGACGTCTTTGCGCAGTTTAAACACTTATTGAGCGATTACATGAGACAGGATACGGATTTCGGTAAGTTGTACTTTTTCTTTTAACATGGCTTCTGCTGTTTATTGAGGTTTATTTTGTGGTGAAACTGGTATTAAGGCGGAGATGATCAGTTCACGTTCGCTTTGTGCTGCTGCTTCCTTGAACTGAGGCGCTACAGCAATCTGTCGCTCCACATTAAACAGTACCAAAGCGGCATTTATTGCTTGAATACTGTAATAAAAAAATGGACGTAATTTGAAACCTGAGACTTTGTTTTATATCAAACGTAACAAAGCTTATTGTGATTTATTGGATGGGATGCGCTACAGTGTTCCGTTCATTAACTGAAATTATCATTAATTGATTTTAAGAATCAATATCGTTTTGTAAAAATGAGAATTGATTAAAATCGAAAAATGTATATTTTTACCCAGCCCTACTTACACTAGCAGTGAATAAATGTTAGAAAACAGAAATGAATCTTACAGGTTATGAATGGGTCATAGCTCGAGAGGCTTTTTCTCTGGGGTCTGGGTGTTTCATGATGCCACGGTGACTGTGCCGGCTGCTCGGGAGACTGTACAGTTGTGTCCTGTGGCCATGTCAGTTCACTGTTAGGTTCTGTGATGTCTTGTGATGCTCTGTCAGAACTTCTTGTTTGCCACGGCTGCTGGGAAATCTGGTGAGGCAGCAGAGTATTTTCATGCCACTCGGAGGCAGGACTTATCTCCAACAAGGATGGTCGTGAAGTTTCTGCAATCTGTGTCACACCCGGGGATTGATTTTGACTTTGTCCTAGAGGACTTGGTTGTAGCTCATTAGAAGCTGAACAAATCCTTTTGGACAGTGGCTGTATTTGAGGGGCTTGTGGTAAATTGTTTTTTAGGGGTGTGGTAGTCTCCTCATCACAGTCATAATCATCCAGTAGACACCTGTCTCGTCTTTAGCAAAGACGAGAAATTTAATGATTACTAAATTTGATGAAGCAAGGGTGGCATGTTAATGTGAAAATGCTATTCAGCAAAATATTCCCTTTTTGCAGTTCAAAATGATGTTAATTTGTTAAACTGCACATCGATACAAGGACCTGTTAGACAGGTCTGTGTTAAAGAATCACATAATATAACCAATCTTACTTTATTTTGCATTTTGGTGGCATCAGGGAGTCAGGCACAGCCTCTAACTGGAGATCGGTCTGCTGTTCTGCAAGAGGTAGCTTCCGGCATGCTTCACTATAATTATCTATGAAAGACAGAATTAAGAAATCAGAACAATCCAAAAAGTTGTTTACCATTTAACCCTTTTTAATTAAACATAATGTGTACAGAAAGGATTTAGACATACTTGTAGTATACATTATTTTTACTTTATATGCAGACCAAGACTCCTGGGGTTGCTCCAAACACTTGGCTGCCCTCTGAACTCTTTCACCTTTGTATGGAGGCCATAAACACACACCACTCTTCACCCAGATTACAGGCACAACCTCCACTTCTTCAGTGTCAACAAAACTGACAATGTGGTACATGATTTCTGCAAGCAAAACACAAATGTGGATAAACATTAAAAAAAAAAAAAAAAAGATAATATAAAAGCAAATAAATATCAATTGTGACTTTTAGATGTCATACTAGTGTAGATTGTGTCCAAGAGTAGCTCAAAATTTCCGATTTCAATTCTGGGGGAAAAAAATAAAATGAACACACACACTCACTTCATTTTACATGAAATTTCTGTAAGTAATTTTCAAAAGGAAATCCAGATATTAGGTCCAAGTGAAATCACAGCTAAGGTGAATCAATCCATAGTGTACACCACAAATTCTGGGCCATACAACTTACTGAAATGTTCAACAAATGAGACAGGCAATGCATTGGCAAAGTCATTCATTGATAAACAGAATGACGGATTTGCTAAAATGCAAATTGCAGCAGATAGAAGCATGAAATTATTAGCTATACACTTGCTCAGCCAGACAACCTCTGACAACTGGCCTAGTATATAGAAGACGTCATCTAAATCTGTTGCTTTCCATTTTAGTCTATCTTCCAGACCCCTTGGTTTTCTGGCAAATTCAACTGGGACAAAATCTTTTAAATTAATTAATCTCTCAGAGATTAGAAGGCCCACAAATCCACCAGTCTTCGTCCCACACCAACGCACACCAAATGCATATAGCCTAATCATGAGGAAAACTAACCATCCCTATTCCCTAATATTGTTTTCGACCAGAGGTGAATGTCCTAAGTGGTGATCTTCATCCTCCACAGCTTGCTTACAAGACTCACCAGTCCTTTGAAATGCATGAATCTAAGGGAAATACTGATGCCTGACTGAACACACCGGTCACATCCAGAATAGCCAGTATGAGTTTTAATGCATTTGACAAAGGCTCTAGCAGGAGCATCACATATAATTGAAGTTACCTGCAACCAAAAAGTCTTGCCACAAATAACAAATCCTTCTCTCAAGCTATTTAGCTCTCTTACAAGAGCATCTAGGTAGTCTGAAAGGGAAGTTGGTTTAGTTACACCACAAAATAAAGCAATTAAAACTGGTCTTATAATAACACAATCTGAAGAGATTAACTTTTAAACAAAGGCAGACCATCTGTATTTAGTTGTAACTTGAATACATGTCTTTCTGGAACTTTAAAAGACAGGTTTTCAAACGTTTTACCAAGGGAGTTCAATATTCCCGCCTGATAACCTTTCCAGCACATACTGATTTGTTGTATTGAGCAAAGAATATCCATCTTTCTGAAAGAAGGAATGCTGTAAGAGCAACCAAAGAAACGCCAAACTCAACTGCCCAACCTGACAGAGTTTGACAAATCACTAGAAACACCTCCTCCTCGCTTTCATACGCATCAGTCTCAAAACTGGCAGCACTAGAACTTGCTTCAGCGCCATCTTTGGTTGGCCTCTTTCCAGGCTGGGAATGAACTCGTTTTTCCAAAGATTCAAACACCGTATCGACTCTTTTAACAGCCCCTTTTCGCATGTTACTTCGCTCACCATAAGCCTATAGGTTTTCCATTATGCACTGTAGAATAATTCTAGCAACGCTAACACAAAACAAGTCCAAGCAGAGGAAAGAAGTGTAAATCTTCTACAAAAAGTAAATCCAGTAACGTGCTGTAGAACAATGGGTGAAATCTACGTGTTGGTTGAGATTTAAATAAATGTTGACTTACCTTGAAGTATTAAAGCTGCAAAAGACAAAACGGCAGTTAGAATTTCACTTCCAGACTGTGTTGTGTTGTGTGGGTCGTTTGCGATGTTGGACTCGAGAGGGAAGCGTCGAGTGGTTTTTCTGTGGGTTGCTTAGCAACTGAATGTCGATCGCGCCACCTGCTGTCCTGGAGTATACATTACGCCTATATACAATGTACACAAGTATACTCAAGTCAGACAGGGTTTTTGGTTAAATGGTCGGTGTTAAAAACTAAAAAGGCTAAAGGTCTGTGTTTCACATGGTCTGTGGTATAACATTTTATTCCATGACATAAAATACACCAGTAATGCCTGATTTATTTTTTTAAGGATTTATGTGTCTTGAAGAAGGCAGCTGCTAACACCTTGAACAGTTTGTCTGGGACATTAAATGCCATGATGCCAAACAAGTACACTAGTTTATTCACTTGTCCACTTTCACAGCTCCATTGTGTAAAATTGCAAAAAAATACAAAATTTCAAACTTGTATAAACTTAATGGTGGTGCAGCCGTGGTATAGTAAGTAACTGTGTTAATCTGAGAAGATTATCATTCAGTGTAGGGAAGGTTACTTTGGAAATATAATAGATTTTAGAAGTTTACAAGCTTATAGGTTACAAGTTACCCTATTTCAAAATGTAGTGTAACTATTTCAATTACTTCAATTGAATTAGAAGCAATGTAACTGATTACATTTGATTATTTTTTCTAAATTTTGAACAAATGTTTTCAACTGTTAATCATTTTCACAAATGTAAAGCAGGCAGGGTTAACCTTACAGTAGTGCTCAACACTGATTACTGTCAGACTTTCAAAATCCTTCTTTACTTGAATTAAGATGATAATTGTTTAATTTTAAAGCACAGCCACCACAAAATCAGACTTTAACACCTCTCTTTACTTTGAGATTGTTCTGAGGTTAAATACAGATTTAAAGTCATCACAAGAAACCGACAGCTTTTAATGGCCACAGAGCTTATTTTTTGCAGCAATACAATAATACTAGTTTTTGTGTGTGTGTGTGTGTGTGAACCAGGGTGATACTAACTTCTGGGTTGGCCTACAAAAACACGTCAAAATAAATAACCTCCGGACCACTCTATTAACATTTTCCATGAATTATGTAAAATAAAAAAATCTTTATTAGTCACTTAAATTACAAAACAATATCTAACGGTGCATGAAAAAAAACAAAACAAGAGAAAGTGAATTCATGATAAACTCCCAAAAACTTTCTCAAAAGCATTTCTGTCCACCACTCGTCCCAGTCTGGTAGAGAAGTACATCGTATCAGAACAGCTGTAGCGCTTTAAACGCAGGATCGGCTCTCCTTTGGTATCCCCTGAATCTCCCAGAGTCATGACATCTGACACGGGCACGTATATGTCCCGTCTGTGACCCCAAAATGTCAGGTGCGACACCTTTAAGACGGTCTGCGTTGAATCCAGATACATCATGCCAACCACTCGTCTGACATAGTGGCTTATGGAGTACAGCATGACGCCGGCGAACACGGCGATGCCTGTGGAGTAACTCAGCAGCATTACTGACGCCTGTCCCTGCAGGTAGAGGTAATAAACCGCGGGCAGTAAGACGACAGTGATGCCCGTCTGCATCAGTTTGAGTCTAGAAAGCGCCCGCAGGCCTTTGATAGCCGGAAAAGTGTAAACTGGACTGTATTTCCTTGAGGCAAGGTCAGAACAGAAGGACGCAGGTTGGATCTGTACAGTGTGTGTGACTGTAATGGGCATCCGTCGACCCACATGCACCAGGTCACTGCCGTATTGCACATGAGAGCTTGAAATCAGTCCTGCACGATGACACCCATAGAGAGGAAGACGGGAAATGCGGATTAATCGTGCGGACATCATCTGAGGAGACAGTAACCATGGTAACGATTAGTGAGGGGCGCTTTCGAAGCACTGCTTCGTCAAGCTTCGAAACATTTGTGAATCATTTGTTTCCAAACATTGGTTCGGAGCGCGTATCGAAGTGCCAAAGTCATGTGATTTCAGTAAACGAGGCCTCTTTATGTCAAAACTGTTTTGAAACGTTTCGAATCATGCGAGTTCATTGAGCTCGCCCCCAGCGGCAAACCATTGAACCAGCGTCTATGGTTTTTCCTGATCTCGGATCAGTTTCATCAATTTGTAAACATTTTTAACGAGACATTTGCGTAACTAACCCCCGGTTTCACAAACCAGGCTTAGGCCTAATCCCAGACTAAAATGTAAGTCTGAGCTGTTTCAACTGAAAGAAACTTGCACTAACCGATCTTAAAATATGTCAGTGCCTTTGTTTTGTCTCAAGATGCACACCAGTATTGTTTTTGTTCTAAGGCATGTTTATAAAAACTACTTAAATAATGTCCTAATTGAACTATTGCCTAATCCTGGCTTAACCTAAACCCTGTGTGTCAAACCAGGCCTAAAAAGATGAGTAGTAGTTAATAGTGTCTTACTGGCCTCCATTTACAAGCTTTCAATAAAACAAACCCTGCAAATGAAAAAAACAGACATTTTATATTTAATTATATTTATTTATATTTAATTATATTTATTTATATTTATATATATATATATATATATATA